TCTTTCCCAGGAATGAAATTAATTTAGTGAACAGAACACTGTAATAATTCAGGAAAACTCTTCACTTTTACACTCTCTGATAATTGACACTGTAACTATATTTTTGAGGACCTTTATGCATGATCATTCTTTCCTCTCCACAAGCAACATGAAGACAAGCAACTGCACTTGGTAAGGACTTGGAGCTATGTAAATAAAGTATACAAATCAAAGAACAGGTTGAACTAAGCTAGAAACTGCTCCCCTGACACTTATCCGACACACCTCTAGTGTCATTCTGCTGCCTTTAAGCTGCCATTTCTGATGAGACACCTGTCAATCATGATTGTGTAACTGCTTCTTGAGAAGCAATTCAATGGAGCTTTGACTTTGCAGCTGCATCTCTACATTGCATGTGTAGTTCAGGGCAAAATGTCCAAGATGCCACTGCCACATGTAATGCAGCAGCTTCACAGAAGCAAGGGGGCTGTTTATGGGGGAAAAAGGCAGATACAGGTATTATCCTGGCGGTTGGTGGCACAGAGGAGATTAAAACAGTTCATTCTTCACCTCTTTCAACTAGGACATCCAAAATATTGCAGCCCCTCAAATCTCTACTCATCCATCTGCAACAAACCTGCAGAACTCGTTGTAGTGCAGAAGTGAAGCCAGCAGTATCTTGGCAGGGCTTCTCAAAGAACTCTGCGTTTACCACCAGAGCCTCTTTTCACACCAATCACCTCAAAAAACGTAAAGAAACCAATCACGGTGCACAAACCTACACAAACTTTGCACCTTGACGTAAGTTGTCAGCAAACTATGGATGCAAAAAAGAAGTGACTGTTGAGGGCAGCAGCTAGTGAGTGTCTACAGAAGGCTTTATTCCTCTGAAGTAGGTGAAGTTTGCTACAGTCTTGGAAATGGTACCAAGCTGGTGAGGGCTGCTATAACCCAGGCTGGCAATTTTTTCCTTCCTGACAAACACTGCTCTTACCCAACACTCCAAAACCAACTAGGCTGCATTTACTGGTGGCTGACTGTAGAATTTTCCCCAGCAGGTAGTTTAAAATGGTAATAGATGCTTCAGTTTCCCATTCTTGGATATGATACAATAAATATAGTTTGTTCAGAGCCTTTGTTATGAGCACCTATTACAACAGCTGGCCCCACCCTGTTGTTACCACTGTGCCTGCTTGTTTTCCAGCTACTAATGTAAATGTAATGTCAAATCGTCTTAAGAATCATGAAGAGCTGTCCAGAATCACTTGTTCAACTGACATTTCTGTAATAATAAGGAAAGGAAAGAGTTGTGGGAAATTAAATGGTGCTCCTGTTGCCAAGTTGTTAAAATTATATGGCAATATGCTTCCAGTAGTTGTAAGAAATTAATTTGTGGTGTGCTTACAAGCCTTACATCTACTAAATCTCAACAGGATAGAAAATGCTATTTAATTGATACAACTTGCAAATGCTAAGGAGAAAAAAAAATAGCACCAAAGAGTGAAAGAAGAAACTAGATTCTTGTCTGCACTCTTGATTCCTGCAGGCTGGATCTCTACAGCTGAGGAAGCCATGCAGGAGATCCTTGGGGAAGTACTTAAGTGTGTACGTGTCAGCACCTGCACGTCTCCCTTCTGCTTTCTGGAAACAACAGCTAGAGCAAAGTGAGTGTCACCATTTTTCACCTCCTTTATTATGTTGTTCAGGAAGAAGTGCCTGAGACACCTGATCTGTTGACAAACTGATTTTTTAATTATGCCACTATGCGATTACCATCATTGCTTTCTCACAACAACGTCAAATACAATATAAAACTTTGGATTTTCTACAGTGAGTGAAATCAGCAAAATCACAAGAAAGAGTTCTGGCAGGGCTGTTCCTGCTCCCTCTGGCAGTCAGAACCAGGGTAAGGCGCTTTGGCAATCAGCACCAAGTTTAAGAGAGAAGCTTTGTATCAACAACTGACTCTCTGCACATTAAAGTACGCAGAAGTTTTCTGCAGATGCGTGGAAAACTGAGACTCCCTGGTTGTTCTCCAAGCTGCTTTGAAACTGCAATTGGTTTAATCCAGCGGCAGATCCTGGCACTATTCTTTCCCAAGTACAGTACATTTGGATAGCGACATAAAAGCACATGACACAGAACAGATTTGCTCAAGCTCACCATGGTTCTGATGGGCTACACGCACCAAGAGGCAATTCCAAAAGAGCACACAACTCAAGTGATCAGGACAACAACACTGACTCAAGGGAATTCCATCTCCATTTTGTGAAGGGAGAAAGTTCACAAAGGAAAAGATTTTATTGCAAGTTGTACTGCTCAGCTTGGCCATTGCTAGTTCAGATCAGAAATATCAGAAGCTGCCGAGGATAAATAATTCCTGTTGTGTTATATATCTGAAGTATAGAAAGCTTGTTTTAAAAAGGAAAGCCACCATACAATACTCCAAATGGCTTTCTCTCACAGACTTGAAATCATGTTAGATCAACTATGACTGGAAACACAGGTTTCAGTAGTAGTTCTGGCACCCTGTAGTTTGGAAAACTCCAGTGCATACAGGACTGAGGCAGTTTGTGTGCAGACCCTTCCCCGCAGTATCCCAGGGTCACCTCCACTTCCTTCTCACCAGGGTGTCCCTGGACTCAGCAGGTTCCGTCCTCCGAGGGCACAAACTGGCAGCTGTCGTGAGAGACAGTGTCAATGCTCTGCACCTCTGACTGCGGGTGAATGGACACCTGGACAGCTATCTCTTGACCTTGCTCATTCATGGAACCATCGTCCGAATCCCCGGCTGGGGAATCGCTGCGCTTGATCTCGGGGTTGCTGGGGTATATGGCAGCTTGTGTCCCGCAGCCTGGGGGCTGTTTGGCCTCCTCACCAATTTCATCGGGATCGTCAACTCGCACTGCCTCAAAGATCTCCTCCATGAATGCCCTGCAGTTAAGGATCAGTGGTGGAAGGGGAATGCTCCTGGCAAGCTCTTCAATGTACCGAGCAAACTCCATGGTCTTAAACTGAGTGACTTTGGCCAACTCCAGCGTTTTGGCAGACGTGATGATAGGGATACGCTTGGCTATCTCAAAAGCCTTCTGAAGCTTCTCAGCCCCTTCCGTCCTGAAGAACTCATTGATCGCCTTCTCTGTTTTGCGGAGGTGACTGCTCATCATGCACAGACGGGTTATGTTTAAAATGAGGGTGATAGCAAAGGCAATGAGGCACACAATCATGTAGTAGATACTCATGTCTCCTGAGGTGAAGATAACCCTCAGGGTGACTGTGTAATAGGAGGTGTCATTATGGTTAACAGCTGCACATGTGTATCGCCCCCGGTCAGCAAAGCTGACCTTTGTGATGTTAAGGGAATTACCAGCAATCCTCCACCGTCCACCTGGAGATTGAAAAGAAACAAACTGAGCTCATGGAACAAAAGTCACTTGGTAAACTAGACACGTGCTGTTTGCCCCATCCACAGGAAACAAGGTTGGAGGCAAGCAGTCCATTTCTAGCAAATACAAACAGCACAGCAAGGATTGAAATTCCATTTTCATGCTTGTGATCCAGAAAGCCAAACCCAGTTACCAATCCCAATGCTTAATGGCAAATTATTCTGCACGCTTGCTATGCTATGTATTCTGCTTTCTCTCATCTGTACTTTTCTGTGTGCTCTTGGTCTGCTAGTTCTTTCTGATAGGGAACCTAATTCTTAACTAGTGCTTCTCACCCGCTGTGCAATACCACTGTCCTCTATAAAGTCTAATTTTCCATACACTTGGAGTCAAAAGTCAAGTGACCCATGAAAAATATCAGAGCCTGTAAATGGCTCTGCTGGCAAAGGAGCCCAGGATTTTCTCCAGACACAGTTTTCTGCTGAGCATGCAGTGCTGATCCACAAAACCCATATAAAAAGAAATCAATAAAAGAAGCCAGCTTTATACAGCATTTCCTACACATCCATAACTTAGGGGGAAAACTGTTCATAACTCATTCTTCTAATTACTCTACTTTGAACTAATCGCCAGATGGCATTTTTACCACAAAGAGGTTGCTTAATACTTAAGGCAGAGAGATGCCCCCCAAGAAGATCCCATCAATTAGTTCAATGACCTTCATTAATACTAATAGAGACAAAAACACATGCACCTCTAAAAGACATTAGTTTTTGAAAATTAAAAACTACAGAGACAGAGCCAACAGCTAAAAAAATCTATTGTTCTACTGTACAAAATGGTTAAATAGCGTGAATTTCATTGTTGGCCATTACGAACTGTGTTAAGTCTCCATGGTCTCACTGGGGCATAAACCATAAAATAAATGTACTCAGTTAGCCTGAGTGCTTTAAAAAAAATCCTGTAACAAAATTAAGGCACCGATTGCCATCTGGAAAAGGTCACAAGTTGTGGAGAATTGTGTTTAATTCTTATGTTTGGAAAAATAAAATAAACCAGAACAATAATAAATAAAACCATCAGTTAGTATCTTGCAGGATGCTGATTAATGTCTTCTGTAGTGAATACCATGATGCCTCTTGAACAAACTGATTCTGTGGGTATAATTCAAATGCCACATGCCAGAGGGCACAGGGCTTTCTCTTGCTCTCTCCTTATCTTTCAACTGTAAAAACAGGAGGATAGGAAGAGAAAATAATAATAAAGTCCCAGAGGTTTTCAGACAGTGCATAAAAGGGGAAGGCTGAAGGACAGAAAACAGCACAAAAGCTCACCTTCATCCTTCTGCTCAAGCAGGTGTCCTCTGGAGTTATACCAAAGAATATATTCATACTGGCTGATGTTCAGTTTACATTCAATTAAAATACTGGTCCCTTCTTTGGCTATGATATCATGATGTGCTGGAGAACCTACTAAAGCTTGAGACACCTGAAGAAGTGATGCATTGAAAGTCCCAAAGGCAACTGTCCTATTAAAGGCTACATTTTCCAGTGTAAATCCAACTGAAAGATCAGCACTAACAGTCAAAATTAACAGGCAATAGGTGAGCTTCATGGAAAGCTAGAGAAGATTCTTTTTTCATTTAATTTGGGGATATGAGGTCATATGACAATAAGCTGTCTGTATTGCTCTGAGACAGGAAAGGAGGCTCTTGATTTGTTCAGTGATAGAAAATGTCTTTGATCCAAATGTGCTTTCAAGAGCATCAATATTAGAAGTGGAGACAGGAAATCCAGCTGAAAAAAAAAAAAGATAATTTAGTTTATTAATGACAGCAAGCTTATGGCATATTCAAATTTCATTTCAGTTAACAGATTTTGATTAGCATAATATAAACAGTCAGTTGAGAGGTTCCAAATCAGAGCTTTGCTCAGAATATAGTAATGAAAGGAGGGTAAGAAGGCATTAGTACAACTTTCAGTCCTCTAGATATTCATCTTGCCATCAAAATAAATAATCTCAGCAACAATAATCCTTAAGGGAAAAAAGGTTTTTTAAAAAAGAACAAAGTGTTTGGTCTATTCCAAATGCACAGCTCTCTTTAGGGTCAGAAAGTGGATTCTGCATTTGTTAACAGAGAAAAAATGCTTTCTTAATAGAGGAAGAAAAGCAAGAAAGAGGATATAATTTCTGCTTCCCTCCAGTATCAAAGTGCTTTTAAGGCCTAGGTTTTTTCTAAAGTCAGTCTTTCCTTTACCATCTAGACAAAAACCAAAGCACACACACACCTGATCTGAAGCACTTACACATCTACTGCCCTGACTTTAGAGGCACAGTTGAGGTCAGATATCTAACTACTCCATCATATCCTTACGGACTCGTGTTGGGAAAGCTGTCCTGGCACTTTTCTACAGCCACAGAGGGGAAGTCCCTGTCTGAGTATCAGGATGCCGATGTCTAAACATACTTCTTCCTTTCCTGCAGTGTCTCTTGCTGATGCTGCTCTATTTTCTAGCTCTGCCTCCTTTTTTTTTTCTTGTTTGTTTTACTAAAAGCTCCTGTTGAAAACCTTTTACTTTGTGCTGTTACATTGCAGCGGTTTTACCATCGTTAGCATCTTCTCTTCCCAAATGCTGCCCCGTATTTCAGAGCAATTTGAAAATTTGTTTTGCCTAAGGACAGAATTCACATTCTTCAAATTCATGTGCATAAGAGACATTTTAAGACATTAGGAACACTGCCTTGAATTTTATGTTCTTTGCACGCAAGAATTTTCCTTTTTTAAAAGCCAGAATAAAACCAGCTTGTAAGAACCTGAGACGACACTGATAAGAGAAAATCCGTAAGTGATTTTCCTGGAAGACTGATCCAAGAAAATTTTTAATCCAATATGCATTGCCTGAAGTTATGATTCCATCTAGATTGCTTCAGAGCCCTAAAAAACCCACAATATAAAAGGTACAGAAGCCACAAGCTAAAATGTTGTCTTAAAAAATATCTATCTCACCTCACCCCACTGACTGTGTGACTTCAAATTTATCATCTTTACTTCCACCAATAACAAATGCTGATTGAGTTGAATTTCCTACACACCACAATACAAAAGAACACATTTTCTTAATAAATAATGCAGACACTTCTTGTCTTTCCAGAATCACTAGTTAACGCTGTCTAAAGCAGACAGAAATCCTATCAGTTATGAAAAATAATTGCATATAAATAAATCCAGGTCATGTGTAGCAATGTTCTTTTCAGTTGATAAAAATAAGCATATTCAAGAATGGGTAAGTTTGCTGATAATACACTACCCAAACTAGGATTTTTTTTCAGTTAAAGTTTATTTGTCAAAAGTCAGACCAGATTCCACACTTGACATGTGATGAGAAATGTGTATGTGCCCCATTTCTGCTGCAGCTATTGCCAAAACCAGTTTAGCAAAGAAGGGAAAGACAACAGCTGTGTCCAGCTCTTCTTCAAGCCTGATGAATCCTGCAAGAGAAACTGGACAATGGGCCCTCCACTTGTACTTCCCTGCAAACAGCAACTCCTCCACCTGTCGTCTTTTTTTTTGTTATTGGCCCCACTCTGTTTTCTGTCATGGCTCTTGTCCCTTCATTTAAGATGAGACCAGCACCAACACCTCAGTTATACTGCTGCTCTGAAGAAGCTACTTTCCCACAACTGAACAGATCTAAAATTTCCAAGGCCTTTTTTGTTCCTGTTTTCCACCCATTACACTTTAAGGAAAGTGTTACTGAATCCTGCTGCCTCTGGAGAAGAGCATCCCTGCTACACCAGCTGCATAGGTCTGAAAAAAACCCTAATACTAAGGCTGCTGCTGATCAACAACTATTCTTCCACTGCCAGGAGTGGTTTCAGCCTTTCTTTTGCAGACCCCTAGGATTTTCCAAGGGTTTAAGAGCCCTCAGAAGGCTTGAAGCAGCTACAGCTGAGGAGAGCTCTGCCATGAAGACAAACCCTCCTCTTTGGTATTGGATCAGTTGCATAGAACTGGATCAAATGCACAGAATTACTTCCAGTATTTCAAAACAATAACCATCCAACTAATAATGTTTTAGATTTATCAGAGATTAATTCCAGTACCTCCTGTACTTTGCCTGTGTTATTGTCATTTTAAATGATTAAATTTAAATTGTTAGGTTTCCAAGTGTCTGTAACACTCCTCCTAAAATGACATTAGGAACCTCAGTCAATTATTTAACACAAGAAATACCCAGCAACACTTCCCCTCATAAGAATAAGATAATTATCTTCAGTAATTGCATATGCTTTCCACTCTATCTGCACTGAGCTTGCATAATGTATAAAACATTGGCAACGGGTCATTGAATTTTACTATTAAAGCCTTCAAGGTCTGATTTATTAGAAATTGTTTGTCACATTTTGCTTTTGGAAAAGCCATTATTGCTAAGCAGACAATGATCTCTCACTGTCGAGTGCTGGGAAAAATAAAATGATTCTTCAACCATTACACTTATGCAAAACAGCTGCTAGGGCTGATAAAGGCTCCAGAAAGGACAAAGCATGAGCTGTGCCAACAGCACAATTGTTCAAGAAAGCATTAAGCCCAAGCAAGATGAAATGTGCAGAATAGAAAATGGCTATTTTATAACTGAACCTGAAGTAGAGCTCAACATATTTAATCTTTATGAAAACCTAAGTTGTAACAAGCAGCAGTGGAAGGATAAAAATCTACGATGCATCCATTTGCATGAGTCATCTTTGGCTCTTATCCTTTAAAAGTGTGTCTGAGTTTAACTGATAGAACTAAAAGTTGTCCCACTGAAGTCAATGGGGGTCCTGATAGTACTTAAAATTATCCACATTTATAAGGCACTGCAAAATTGGGGCCCAAGAGGCTGCGAGTTCTATGGCTTTACGTTCACTGCTCCTAATATCATTTTACACCTAGAGAAAAGCAAAGTAATAAACTGAGACACACCTGGCAGAGCTCAACCTGCTCTGACTGCCACTGCTGGCACAGGAAACCTGCTGTTTGGCATTTAGAATAAGGTACCTGGCAATAACGTGCACTAAATAGATCTAAACGGGCCACTTTAGCTCTGAGCAGGCCCTCCTGCTCACAGTGTGGGGTCCTGCAGAAATAAGGCTGCTGTGACCATCCCTGCAGGCCCCTCTGGCCCTCTCTGAAACCCAGGGACTGCACATGGCAGAGCCCTGATGACATTAACTCCTGGGAAACGTGTGAAAAGAGTGGCCTTGACGCCAGCGCGGGAGCAGCGGCACCAACGGCCGCGAAACCCAGGCCAGGAGCAAACCCGCCCGAGGGCCGGGCCCGGCTCCCGGGCCCGCTGCTCTGCCGCGCCCCC